CGGTGGTGCTGGTGGCGGTGGCGACAGTACCAGAGACAGTACCAGCTGTAGCACTGGTTGTTGAGGCAACTGATCCTGAGACTGAGCTTGCGATTGAACCGATTGAGGAGGCGACGGAACTGGCCACTGAACTGGCAACTGAGCTTACAGAGGATGCCACAGTACCCGAGACAGAGCCTGCAGTGGCGGTAGATGAAGTTGCGACAGTACCTGATACAGTACCTGCTGTGGCTGTAGATGCAGTGGCAACAGTGCCCGATACAGAGCCAGCAGTGGCTGTGGCGGTTGATGGGGCGGTGGTGCTGGTGGCGGTGGCAACAGTACCAGAGACAGATCCTGCGGTTGCACTTGTACCAGAGGCGGTGGCAACAGTGCCTGAGACTGAACCAGCTGTGGCTGTTGCGGTTGATGGGGCGGTGGTGCTAGTGGCGGTGGCGACAGTGCCAGAGACTGTACCAGCGGTGGCACTGGTTGTCGAAGCGACTGATCCAGAGACTGAGCTTGCAATCGAACCAATTGAGGAGGCGACGGAACTGGCTACTGAGCTGGCAACTGAACTGGCCACTGAACTTACTGAGGAGGCAACAGTGCCCGAGACAGAACCTGCAGTGGCAGTGGAGGCGGTGGCCACAGTACCCGAAACAGAGCCAGCAGTGGCTGTGGATGCAGTGGCGACAGTTCCTGAAACTGAACCAGCTGTGGCTGTGGCGGTTGATGGAGCTGTGGTGGAGGCAGTGGCAACTGTGCCTGAGACTGAGCCTGCTGTAGCACTTGTACCCGAGGCGGTGGCAACAGTTCCAGAGACTGATCCAGCTGTGGCGGTAGCGGTGGATGGGGCGGTGGTGCTGGTGGCGGTGGCGACAGTGCCAGATACAGTACCGGCTGTAGCACTTGTGGACGATGCTACTGATCCTGAAACTGAACTGGCAATTGATCCAATTGAAGATGCAACTGAGTTGGTAACTGTTCCGACTGTGCTGGCGACAGTGCTGGCAACAGAGCCAGCAACTGAACTGGCGACTGAACCAGCGATGGTGGTGGGTGTCGAAGTTGTCACACCACTTGATGAGATTGATTGACCAATGGAGGCGGTCGCCGTTGTTGGGAGTGATGTAGTCACTGCAGTTGTGGACACAGTTCCAGCAATTGTGGTTGGCTTGGATGTGGTGATGCCAGTCACTGAACCAGCACTTGATGTTGACACTGGTGTAGAGGTAGTTCCGGCACTCACTGTGGCAATGATGGTCG